TGCTTGACTCCTATTGCCAATTTAATTTTTCTTCAATATTCCACGGCAAGAAAAGGTTCTTTTTAAAAAGTATTCTCTTGAAAGTAATGTCCTAAGCACACACATAGCATGTTTGCCCAAGAACATTAAAGAATGTGTTCTACATTCTGACTGTGAACAAGCTTTTCTAGGAATGCAAATTTTGCTTTCAATACTTAACACAATGAACTACAGTGTCATAAGTACTGTTCACGTGCTATTAGTCATTCTGTTGAAAATTTATTTTAAAAAATAATAATAAAAGGCCTGTAGTGTATATAAAGCATTTGGGACACAAAAGACTTATTGTCAGACTATTTGCAGGATCCCCAAAATAGAAAAACAAGTCCCAAAAACAAATTAACTTGAGCTTATAATTACTTTTAAAAATGCTACACTACCAGAACCCTAAATTTTTAAATGCAACCAATCTATAGTGTAAAAGAGATGGCATAAATCTTATCATCATGGCATCTGATTGACAGAGATAAGAGACTATATTCTGTATTCTTTAGAGAAACAAAGGGGATTTGAGCTCTGGGACAGCTGGTGCATGTTGGCACTTAGTCTGGAAAATCTCAAGATTCTAAGATACATGTGTCCTTGGGTACAGTTTAATTTGTGTTATTTTCAGGTCTAACAGCTATATTTCCCAAACTAAAAGTGAGGGCATATTATTTGGTAATGTAGGAGCAAGTCTGAAAAACCAAGTTGAATACAAAGTGGTTTAAATATGTCTTTGTTTTTTTTTTTTCTGCAGAGTACTGATTCTTCAAAGATCTTATCTGGAAATATAAATAAAACAGGTAAAGGCCTAAGTATTCTAGCCAAAATGAGTGTGTCCATGGGGGATGGGCTAAGAACTGAAGAATAGGAGGTGCCTTGAGTCTCACCACTAATCCCAACACTGTCAGTAGTCCCTTAAGAGTTTCTCAGAACTCCTTCAAAAATCTGATTCAAACTCAGCTGAAATGAAAACTCATATGGATTCATAAGCAGTCTGGAGGGGAAAACTTATTAATATATCAGTTTAACCAAGAAAATGTCATATTAACCTGAAAATTGGTCAGATCATTAGAGCTCAAAGCATATTACTCTGAAACTGCATTTCCTTTTAGAAACAAACATTTCCATTCCAAATTGAAATGTAAGGTCAGAAACACTAAAAGAGGGGAGTTGACCTATTCAGTAAACACTTGCTCAACAAATACTTTTACCAGGACAAATTTAGGAAAACATAGGGAATTCATGCCTTAATAAATGATCTTGCATATAATTTTCTCATTCCCATCATGCAAATCTGAATTCACTATTAAAATTAGAAAAAGTCACATATCCATTCTTCAGGCTATCTATATAGATATTTTTGTTCTTCCCAGAGCAAAAATTAATCAGTCACTCCCCTTTTAGTGTAATAACTTTTCTGCACAAACTTGAAATCATATAAGTTATTTTGTTCTGTTTATATACGTTGAAGTTATTTTGTTTTGTTTTATAGTCACTAAGTTAAAACTTTCAATAGGAAAAGAATATTCAATGTCTCTTACTCTTTCTAGCCTGGAAAGGTTCAGTTAAAAACTGAAAGTATTGGCATCATTCAGTGATTTATCCCTCCATAATTTTGAATACTATTCCATGTTTACCAGGTTAGTTGTTAAAAATTCTAAATCATAAAAAGGCACAATTTTCCTGCTTGTTTTTGTCCTTTTTTCTATTTGTATAAGAATGAAGAAAATGTCTCTTTTAAAATAATTTTTTTAAATATTCACACTGAGCATTAGCATGGCCCTTTACAAATGTCAAAAGTGCTTTCATATACATTATCTTCTATACATATTACTAACCCTAAGACTAGATTGCCTGGTACAAAATTCTGGTTCGACTACCCTGTGTGACCTTGAGGAAATTACTTAACCTCTCTGTCTCAGTCTCCTCATTTATAAAGTGGGAATAAGGATAATTCTTATACCTCACAGGATTGTTATAAGAATTTAAACGAATATATGTAAAATACTTAAAATAGTGCTTACTACATGGTACACACTACATAGTTGTTAGCTATTTTTTTAAACTACTGTCACTATCATCAATCATTATGTTTAGGTCTCACAACAGTACTGTAAAGGTAGGGGGCAGCAAGTATCATTTTACCCTTTTTCCAGATAAGGGAATCAGGCTCAGAGAAGTCAACTGACTAACTCAGAGGAAACTTCAACACTTCCATGTTATGATTCATGTTGGGCAGTGGAAACAGCATGACATTTACAAAGTTCCAGTTCCATCTCTTCAAGCAGAGGGCACTAGACAATCATGTCACTTCTCTGAGCTTCAGTTATTCATCTATCAAATGAGGACCTACCTCATGAGGCTGTTAGGAGAAACGACTGAGATAATGAATGTAAAACTGCTTTGTAACTGAGATGATGTATGTGAAACAGTTTTATAACTATAAAAACTATACCAAAATGTGTTAACATTACTATTAGCTACTTTGATTGCATTGATGAATACGGAACATTCATTTATTCATTCATTAATCTTTTTTTCTTATTAAATTATTGATAGAACTCTTCCAATATAGAAGTGTCATCTTGACTATTTTGTGTAATTACCGTATATTAAGTGACAACTTGGACTGGATTAGCATAGTGAAGGACTTTAGGTAACCTGCAAAGTATCTATTCCAGTACCATGTGCTTAAAGGAAATTCAGTAAAATCTTAGCCACAAGAAATAAGAGAACAAACCAAATGACAACCATTTGTATTTTCCTTTCTAATTTTAAAATAAACAATAGTAAATATTTTCAATTAAATCACAAAGAAACTCAGTAGATGTATTATTATCACAGCAGTAATCATAATACATTAAATTTGTGTGTACTATAGTTTTCAAAGCATTACACACATATCATCATAGAAATACAATCAATGTTATTCTGTTTGTTCACAGGTATATTTTAACATTCATAAAACTTCCACTCTTAGGCAAGTCCTTAACTTCAATGTCTCAAGATAAAAAAAACGAAGGAATTAGACTTCATAATAGATAAAGCATCTTTTTAGAGCTATTGTTTTTATGATTTTGAGTCTGTGGTTATAAAAAAAGCAAAAAAATTAATGAAAATTTATAGTTACAAAATATAATAAACTTACGAAAAATTAGTAATTTTAAAATGTCACTTTTTAAAATCTTACAATTAAAACATTCAAAATATCCAGAAAACTGGATAATGGCATTTTATAGTTAAACTTATTAGTAAATTTCAGAATTACAGAATATTTCCAAAAAAATTGGATAATTGCATTCACTAACATAAGGCTACAATTCAGTAACTATCAATGTACTATACATAATATAATATGAAATATACATGATACCAAATTAATTCACACTTATAGTTCAGAAAATACTTTAGAATATTTCAGTTCCTCAGAGATATTGTGAATATAAACCATAACAATGTAGTATTAAAAATACAAAAACTTCAATTATTTAAGGTATCTTGCTAGTACATACAGCATCAGATTCTATACCAAGCAAATAAAACCACTCCTAATAGTATCTCATAGAATCCAAAAGAAAAAAAAAATTTTTTTTCATACACATGTTTTCATACCACATACTGTTCATATTACAGTTTACCAAGTACCTATTTGCAAAGCACTATGCAGGCTACCATCACTCAAAAATGATATCAGATTCCTCCTTTTCAAAAGCATAAAACAAAAGCCAAGTAGGGATAGTGCCATGGAGAAAAAAAAGAAAGTGTTTTTCCTCTACCTGGACTACCAGGGTATTTTTCCACCTAATGATTTCAAAATCAGAATAAGCCACATATCTGACTAAAGATGAGGAACGGTTCATGTTTTTCATGCACATAACCAATATATGCTTTTAGCTATTGGGGGAGGGGAGAGCAGTGATGGATTAGTTATGATTTTATATATACACAGTGAATCTGTCAGGCCCAACAAAAATCACTATGTGACAGTGAAATCTAGAACCAGGGGTGACAAGATCACTTCTAGCAGTATATAGCTGTGACTTTGCAGAAAACAATACTAGCCTTTCCTGGCCTTCTAATGCTTATTGTGTCTTTGGGTAAGTTATAAACTTCTCTAGGTCTGTTCCCTCATCTACAAACTTACAACGTTGGACTAGAATTCGAAAGTATCCGAATCAGTGGTTTTCACTTTAAGTGAAGATTTTTGGGCTCATTCCAAGTGATTCAGAACATCTGGGCTGGAACCTAGAAAGTTAAATGTTCACTAAGCACCACAGGTGACTGAAATAGGCAGATGATCCTCAGCCACGTTTGAATACTGCAAGTCCTAGTTATACTAAATGATCTCTAGTGCCCCTAACTATATAAAAAGATGACATAATTTGTTTCAGTGCCAAGGTCTTAGGAATTCTGGATCTAGAGTAATGTGCAGAACATAGCAGATGCTAAACAAATATTTATAGAGAGGAAGAAAGGGAGTGAGGGAGGAAGGGAGTGAATAAAGAAAGAAGGGAAGGAAGGGAGGAGGCCAGCTAGCTAACTGGTTATATTTCTGGCTAAGAAACATACAAAATGGTAGTAAAATTAAAATTGGGTAAAATATATATCGCCAACTGGAAAGCAAAGAGCTCAGTCTCTACACAATTTTTTTTACACACTTACAATTTTAAATGTAGCATGAGCCCTTGTCACACTGCAAAGTACCAAGGAGGAAAAGGAAAAAAAAAAAAATAGTAAATAGAAGCCAAAGAATACTAATGGAAAATTACTGATGACTAAAACTCAGTTACTATTTTCCCCAGGTAGAAGAAAAAACAGAATTTTAAGGACTAGGACTTGGAATCAGGATTAAAGTTTGAAGTTACTGGTTACTCATATGCATAAATTTCATTTGGGAGTAATATGTGGATTCTAGAAATACTGCTGGCAATATTAACTTTTGTCCATTTTTTATTTCCATTTTCCCATTCACTTACATTATAATTTTTGAGGTGTTTTATCTTCACTTCTGATGATCTTCAAATGTCAATGGCTCTTAACACATTAACTGTAAACAAACACAAAGGAACTTAGGGGAATTCAGATATTTAAGGAATCCTACAATAAAGTATTCTAAATTACTCTGTAAATCCTTCGGGGAAGCAAAGGTGGGGGTGGGAGGAGACTTTGGCACTGTTTTCTTGCTTCATAATCCATCCAATGTTTAATCCAAAACTCCTCTTTTGAATGAAAATGATACTATCATCTTAATCATCAAGCAAAGAAAAACAAAATCAACGTATTATCTGTGAGAAGAAAAGAACATTTGAAACTGGAGAAAATTCTCTTCAAATATGGAGATTCTGAACTCAATAATGTATTGTGTACCTTCTCCATCTCCTCCTCAGCAGTGCGGCAGTCAAAGAAACTCATTTCCTTGTCACGACCACCCAAACAAACTTCCCTGGGCTTGCCCTCTTACTACCAAGTATTGACCTGGACCTGGGGCACCAGATCTTCAGATACAATCAGTTCTCTATAGCACATTGACCCTGGAGTTAAAGAGACTTGGGTTCAAATGTCAAACTGCTCACTCTAATCTTCAGTATTCTCATCTGTAAAATGGAAACAATAATACTGTTTATTTTACACAATTATGAGGATTACATGAGAAAATGCATATTATGGGATTTAGCACTATGCCCAGCATATAGTAAGCACTCTTAATAATAAATGTTAAATGCTATTATTAATATTATTATTGCTGTGATTATTAATACTATCAATGCTGTAACTGTCTTCCCTTTGAAAAGCAAAGCTTTTCTCAAGTGTTTATATTTTTAGGTCTGCCTTTGGTTAGAACTGAATATTATCCGACACTAATAATGGAAGATATCTGTATCGTATAAAATCTTTTGAACAAGCTGGGCTTCTTGGCTCAGCTCAGAAAAATTAAGGCTTGTAATCACTAGCCCATCATCAGCTAAAGTTATTACCCCTTTCGCTAATGTATATTTGCCTAACAAAGTCCTACTTGAATAATTGCACAATTCTGTTAAGAAAGGAGATGAATATAGTTGTGACCCATGCCTAGTAAACCCTCTGAGCTCAATAAATAATGCCATGTCAATCCAAAGGAGACTACTCTACCTCCTTCTATTCACTCTCAAATGATTAAACTCCTCATGTTTGACATCACATGCTTGAAATATTAATATTTGTTAGGTGACACAAAAATACATAACACACTGATTTCTCTGAATTTTCAATCAAATTTTTAGATGAAAGATATTAAAAAATATATATACACAAAATAGTAACAAAAGCATTCATAAACTAACATGGTCAAAAATGACCAGCTAAATTTCTCTTATGGAAATCAAACCTTTATAACTAAAATAAGAGAAAATACCTAAGTAGAACCTGACATAATACTTTTGGGGAAAATAAAATACATGAATACATGGCTTGGAAATAAACATCAAACTGCAGAGGATTAAGCAGTGAAGGCCATCTTCCTCCTCATCACCACCACTTTACCATGCAATTCCTTGATTCCATGAAATAGCACAGTTGCTCATTCTTTATTTGATTTCTATTTGCCTTGCACTTAATGATCTAGCAATATTGTATGTGTCCTTTTTATTTTATGGTCCTAGATTAGGATCATAAAAATCTGGCCCAATATACCAAAAAAAGGTAAAAGTTAATAAACTACATTTAGAGTATTTCAAAATACAATTCTCTTTTTTGGTATGGTATGCAATATATCATCTCAGTGTATTTTCTATTTTGGTCATTGCATGTGCAAGTCTAAGTATAAGTATGTCTCTTGCATAAGAGAAGTGTTGTAGATTTTAACTGAAAAAAGCCTTCCTTGCTTTAAAATGATTCATTTTTGTATACCATGGGAGAAGCTGCCAATTATCTCCAATACCCAGTCTCACCTATTCCTTTGACACAGAACCTCCAACTCGTAGCACAGCACAGGGCCTTCCAGAAAAGACTATATATCCTAGCCTCCCTTGTGGCTAGGTATGGCATGGGACCATGTTCTGGCCAACTGGATGTAAGCTTAAAAGACGATATGTGACTTCAAAAAAATATCCTTTAAAAAAAGAGAACATGCCTTTCTTCTTCCCTTCCTCCTTCCTTTTAACTAGAATAAAGATGTAAAGGTTAGAGTTCCAAAGGCAATTCTGGTTCATGAGGTAACACTGGAATGTAAGATCACATACATTAAGTTAGAAAGAGTCTGTGTCCTTCAAAGAGTCTGTAATACTTCAGATCTACTATATCAAATCTATATTGATTACTTTTGGATGCATGAAAAAAATAAAATTCTCTCTATTTTAAGTCACGGTTTGGATTTCTGTTATATTCTGCTAAACCTAAACCCTAACTTAAAATGAAATAAAGGAGAGTTCTCCAAGTATCAGTATTTAGGTTTTTGAACTCTACATATTAAAACATATTTTAAAAGTTATTTTTTTATATTGAAAACATAGTATCAGCTCTTATTTAATCTAGACTAAAAAATATTTAATGAACTCAAGAGTTAATCACATCTGGTAAGTGTTTGAAAGAATGAAAATTCATCAGCTCTTACTACCATGGGTACTATGTACTTGAGCAGGAGAAGAAGTATGAAGCTTGCTCATTAGTGGTGTATAGTGATGACAACGCTGTTGCATACACAGAAACACATTAAGAAGGATAAGCACAATTAGTTCTGTGTAATAAAGTTATAGGAAAGGGAATTGAGGTTATTATTTTCATTAAGAGGGCATCTTCTCTAGTTCCTTTAATAACCTTGTACCAATCTTCTTTTCTTATAGTTCCATTTTTAACCTGACTTCCTGTGGAAAGTAGTCATATAAAATCAGTCCCAATCCTTGATTATCATCCTTCAATAATGTTTAATCCTATCCATTCATTTAACTAAATCATGTAGAGTAGGCACAAAGATAGCAAATGCTTTACCTATTCAAAACTAATTTCCTTAAAAGGAGAAAATATTCTATACTAAAATCTAGAGAATTTCCACTGGCCAGCTCCTGAATCACATACAACCTTTGGCCCTGGTGATTCTGAATACAATAGCATTAATCTGGCAGCTTTCCAAAATAAATTTACTGCTTTCTGGACATCAGTATCTGGGTTATTTCCTTCCCTTGGGCATAATCCAGGCTTTATTGGTTCAGGTGATAGCCTGAATTACTTCTTTATAACATTTTTTTTAAATGCATGTTACCGCTAATGTATCTCACCAAAGATCTATTTTTAAGAAAAAGCCTAAAACATGTATTCTTGATTTGTGTTATTCGTGGCTGAGAAAGACCTCAAGAAATTTCCTAGAAATAAGATATAATAAATCCACAAGAGATGACTTTTACCGTCCACTACTTCAGTAACTATTTTAACAAAAACGCTCTCCAAGTAATAGGCTTACAGCAGCTCTAACACAGACCTTACCTTAGTTTCAATTAATATTGATGGAGTTACTGGCAACAATTAGTAAAAGAACTAAGGTAGAGGTTCTCAAACCTTAGCATGCATCAAGATCACCTCAAGAGCTTGCTAAAGCACAAACTGTGGGCTCCACCCCCCAGAGTTATTGATTCGGTTAGATCTAAGGTAGGACAAGGGAATCTGTATTTTTTAACAAATTCCCTAAGGATGCTGATATTACTGGTCTGGGAACTACTAATCTATATTAATAGAAGACCACTGATGATAGCACGAAGAGGAAAGAAGAAAAAGTGCGACCCAATCTCACCTTCAGTATTAACTTGCATACTTTTGATTAGTATTAATCTCCTTAAATGTTCTTTCAGAGTGCCCACACAATAATTACTGATTAGTTCACAGTAATAATAGATCTTATCTTACAGAACTTTCAATACAGTCTTTTTAGGGTCCTGGAAAAATAAAATCCGAAATAAGTAATTTTTAGCCTACCTATATGTTCAATGTCTAACGCAAGGTGCTTAGAAGGCCAAGGTTGGAGGCTCAACCTGCTAGCTTCATTCTGTCCTGTAGCTAGCTATAGTTTCTACCATTAATCCTGACCATCTGCCTCAGAAGACAAGGGTCACGAGACAATGCCAAGAGTCACGAGACAATGTAAGAATGTGTGATTGAACACAAATCCATCACCACTACTGGAAAAACAACCCAAAAGCACATTTCCTATCGACATATCTCTAAGTGACCTTGAAGTTGAACCTAGAGATGAGACCTGGCAATGAAATGTCTTTTAGACATCTTAAAAACTCTTCTACCTCTTCCTGCTATAAGTACCATCGAAATTCATGGAAACAGAAATCCAGGATTTGCTGTTTTCAGATAATAATTTTAAGGAAGACATGCCAACTAAAAATGTAGTTAGCTGGAGGACACGTGTTTAAGTATACTATAGGTATCTCCTTTTTGAATTTTTTATCTAAATGTAAATATGAAATGCTCATAAATGCTAATAAATTTATAAACTAGAAATCAACTGATAAACTAAATCTGAGGAAAACAAGTGGTGGCAAGAATAACTACAGCATGAGGATATATAAAAGATGAAAGAAATACACATTAAATAAAATGACTGACAAGATCGGAGAACAAAGCAATCAAGAGTAGCAGATGGAAAAGCAAGTAGATTAAGGGAACACAGTACCATGAAGATATATTGGACTAGACACAGAAAACAATGCAGCCAATAAAGTCAGGAGGCTTTATAAAAGAGCAACTTTAGCTTGAGTCTGAAGCTGTGACTTTACAGGCCAAATTCAACAAAAGGAACCCCTTTTTAATCCTTTCAGTGGAAACATATTAAGACATGTGGTGAATATTGTAGTCAACTTTTTTTAATTCGAATGTTCATGTGGTACCTATGTAGCACTAGATATACAGTTGACTCTTGAACAATGTGGGGGTTGAGTCACCCACCCTCACGCAGTCAAAAATCTGCATATAACTTTTGATTGCCCCAAAACTGAGTCGTCCCTCAGTATCTGCAGGGGATTGGTTCAGGGAACCCCCACAGATACCAAAATCCATGGATACTCAAGTCTTCTATATAAATGGTGTAGATCAAAGCTCAGTCGGCCCTCCACATCCATGGACTCCCAACTACTGACTGAAAATAGTACAGGTATTTACTGAAAAAACAACCCATTGTAAGTGGACTCACACAGTTCAAACCCGCGTTGTTCAAGAGTCAACTGTACTAGCATTTGATTACATGTAGTAAAAAGTAATCAATGAAATCCATTCAAGCAGCACATTTTATAAGTGTGCAAACTGAAAAATGAAAAACCAGAGTAAGAAGGCAGAATAGTACCAATACAGTGTCCAATTCTGCTGTATAATTTAAACAATTCTGAGGCTCAGGTCTACCCTAGCTATCATACATAGCGTTAAGTATGGTTTTATCCGTATCCTGTATAAGTCACACTTACATCAAGAATCAGAGCAAGACCAACAATGAAATTATGAAATACAACCAAATTATCATTGTGCTTAAATAAATTTTTTCACAACTCCTCCTCTCTCTGTGGGGCTGGACATGTTGAACGGACAATAAATAGCAAGATATACAAGAGCTGCTGAATAGTTTGCTGAAGTTGGGCAATACCAAGCAGGACTCACTAAAGAAAATTACCTTTTTTTAAGGATGCAAGATGAAATAACTATAGCTGATTAGGAAACTGCTATCTGAATATCATATAAAGAATAAAACTGCTCTTGTGACCAAAGGCATTAGGCCTATGATGACATAGAAGATGAAGCAAGAGCAAGTCTGAGATGACTATATATATAAATAGAGAGAGGGAGAGAGAGACTCACTCAACGTATGTTTACTGTGAACTACAGATTTCACAAGAGCCAGTCATCCAACTTCAACAGAGTGTGTCATTTTTTAAAAAAGGGCAATCAGATGAGTTAGTGTATTATTTTTCAGATTTATATACTTCCCGGAAGAGTGTAAAACATATTAAAAATTAACACACTTAAACATAACATGGTAGATGAAGATTTAAACTAAATTCATCTAATAAAAGTACTTGAAATTAGAGATAAGATATTACCAACTGCAGTTACATATTTGACTGGTGTTTCTGCTAAACTAAAGAGAAAATACGATTATATAGTTTCTACTTTCAAATAGGAAGCATATATCTTTTTTGCATAAACAATTTTCCTTGGAGCTAAACACAGCAGAAATGTATGTCAATCTTGTGTGTAAAAGACATTCTGTATTGAACTGCATTATTACTATTATTTTGCAGGAGCTATCGAAACAAATTCAAAAGGCAATTTCCTGATTGAAAACTGAAAATTTGAAATAGAAAATTTCCTAATTGTAGAAAACAGAAAGCATAAAAATAAACTACATTTTAAGGGCAATATTTCTGCAAAAGGCTGAGATATAGTTCAAACACCGACAGTCTGCTTAAACATAAGCTAACAAAAGTAAAACAATCTGGATAAGCACTTAACATAGCTATTATAACCATGGCTGTCTACCTTACTTGTGTATTAGAATCACCTGTGATTGTCAGCTGAGATTAAGTTTAAATATAAGCTTCCTAACAATTGTCTACAATGCAGCTAATTCTATACTGTTGATTAAAGAGAGTGCCACCAACAGGTGTAATGACCCGTGAACTAAAAGATATAAAAGAATTTATCAGGAGTGACTTCTATACAGTAGACATTCCAGAGGAGAAAAATGAAAGCTGGCATTCTCCTATGGAAAGCAGAGTCATGCTTACACGTTTGTCCACAGAGGATAAAGCTAACATACTATAGTCAAAATTCTTTCAAAAAGTTCTTAATTTTCTCAAATTCTTATGTCATTAACATAATTTTTTTATTAAGAAGTTAAAATAGATATATAAACTTTATAGTTGCTGGGTTTTCTTCTATCTTTAGGAAATAAATGTGCTTAAATGGCACAATTAGGTACATTAATTTAAAATAATAACATTTATACAGTATAATTTCAAAACTCCATAGCAAAGGTTATTTATAAAGGGAATAGCTAATAAGAACGCATTCATAATTGATAAGAATAACTGATAAAAATGAAAGGAATTGATAAGAATGCATTCATCATATTAGATCTAATCATTAAGATAAAGAATGATAGAATTTTAGAGTTCCAAGGGACCTTACAGATTTATTAGATCCACTCTCTTATTTTAAACTTCAGAGTAGAAAGAGTAAATGATACAGGCCACATAGCTACCTGAGCCAAGAACTTTAGAGCCTGGGCCTCCTGACTTCCAGTACTTGCCTCTAACAGACTATGCTGCCTCCTGTAGTTCTAAAACCTCTCACTTGGATAAGATAGTTCCGGTTGCCTCACTGGTTTTCTTTTGCATCCTATTCTGAACCATAGTTGTCATTTGTAAATTTTCCAATCTGTTTTCCAAATTATTTTATAGCTGAGTAAATAAATCCTTAGCTTTCCGAATTTCAGAGTAATAAATATAGATTTCGCAAAATACTTGAAACAAATGCACAAGTAACCAAAGAAAAATTCTCTCCTGGATAATCCAATCTACAAATTCAAAAAAAAAAAATTTATTGAGCATGTTATTGGCATTCAGGGTCTCTGTTAACTCCTGGGGATATGAAGCTGAGTAAAATATGGTCCTTATATTCAAGTAGTTGATAGCCTAGTAGAGAAGACAATTAAACCAACATTATACTGTGCTTGTTAAGGACTCTGAAAAAGGAGTGGGCAGGTGTATAGAGGAGGAGAATCTAATTTAGAATGATAGGATCAGCTAATGATTTCCCAATGAGGTCCTGAACAGCAACAGGAAAAAACAGCCGTATCACCCAGATTTAACGAGTCCAAAATGAATTTAAAAAGATACAGCAACTTCAATTAATTCAGGGGGAAAAAATGAAAATTGTGAGTGCTTTCACACACCAGATAAGTATTTAATAACTCTCCAATAACAATTAAGACTATTTTCAATGAAAAAGAACCTGATTTCATTGTGGCTATATAACAAATACAGGTCTCCTATTGTTTAACGAAATTTTAAATCACTATTTTAAAACCAAAGAAAAAAACTGCATCTAAAACATGTCTAGTTAATATTCATAACAACTCTCTGCAAAGCGGAATACTAAGTCCTCTTCAAAATTACAGAAGAAAAAAAAAACTCATTAGGTAGGAGAAATAACCTGGAGAACTGGTAACCTAAGAAGGAAGAAAAGTACCACTTATTATCCACTCAAGTATAAGGACTGCTCAGATTTCTAGATAATGACTTTTCAGCTCTAAGATTTAGAAAAGAGAAACACAGTGGGCATTTTAATTTACATTTTTAAACAAAGTTGGGGGAAGAGGGGTTCAGAGTATAAGATAAATAGTGAAAGAGATAAGGAAGTGAAGTGATGGAAAAAGAGAAAAGGGGTGAGCAAGAATCCAAAACCAAAACATTGGGACGAATGGAAGAAATACAGCAGGATAGTTTGGGAAAGA